TAACATCTGTAACCAGAATTTCAGATTGAGTCCTAAAATCCACTCACCATGGTGGCAGTTGAACTTGTCCGGTCTGAATTGTGTTCAGGTAAGAGGAGAAAGGTTTAAGTGTGTGTTTGCTTGTAGGTCTCTGTCTTTTCATCTGTGTATCTGCAAAGACCTTTGGAATTAAATAAGAGAGGTTACTGGAGGTCACCACTGTCTTTTGCTAACCCAACAGAAAAAAACACATAAGGCGCGTTCACACCAAGTACTTTTCCCACAAAGGTTCATGAGAACTACGATTTAGTTGCGTTCACACCAAAAAGTCCCAGGAACTAAATTAGTTCTAGAGAACCTTTTTTACCCCCTTTTCAGTCCCTGCTAGAGAGCAGGGACTTTCGTGGGAGAAAAAGGTTCCTGTGTCTGAATGCAAACCACGCCCCGTCAAAAACTCCCAAAAACTTTTGTGAAGCCGCCATTTTATTATCCTCGCATTGCATTATTAGCATTAGCATTAGCCCAGCGCAAAAACGCAGATAGACTAACTTATGACAACATAAAATAAAACATTGGAGCGGTGGAGATGAGGAGGTGTCGGCGTTCTGGCCGTTTCCTCGGAAGGCTTCAGTAGAAGCTGCTGGGAGTCCCAGCAGCTTCTACTGAAGCCAGTCCCCAACTCCGGGGACTTCCGGCCGGGGATTTTGGGCGGCAGTATACCGTGAAGTTGTTTGTGGCCTGCCAGTAAACCCAAAGCAGAAGAAGAAGAAGTGACGTCAGCGCCTTCATTTGCCTAATCCAGCGCCATAATCCACCCCCAGGAACTAATTTCCGGTGTGAACGCGATCTGTACTTAGTTCATGATAACTAAAGAGTTCTCAGGAACATTTGTGGGAAAAGTACTTGGTGTGAACGCGCCTATAGTGACCGTCATTTTCCTGAAAGCCTTGTTAATTTTAAGATTTGACAATCCTAGTTCTTTGTTAACAATTTATTTTACTTGAAGAGGGGACATATCTAAATTGTTTGGTGGAATTGGGGAAGACGTGTGTACAACAGATTTAAGGGGACAAATGTGAGACAAATTCAAATACACAGTTTCTTTACTCATATTATTCATGTTTTATGGTGGAGAACTATATATGTGGTTAATGCCATAAGCAAAGACAGGTTAGTGGAATATTCAAGTTAAGCTTGAACATCATGTTGCTTTGTATAAACTAATTAACAAGCTGAGTTATTTTTAAGATGTATTTTTGTGTCAGATTTTCACAAGTTTGCTCAAGTATTTTTCTTCAATGACATGTGTTTTAATGTTATAGAACTGTAGTGAGTTTGTTTGTTGTTTTTCTTTTTGGTCTATATGTTGTTCCGTAACTAAGAAACATCTTTCCAAATGGAATATTGTTAATATTTTTCAATCTACCTCAAAACAATACTCATAATCAAATGTGTTTTAGCTGCCTCTAACAACCATAAAGGGCCTTAACCCTAACCAATCATGGGATAAGAGCCATGATCGGTCATAAAAGGCGAATCCTTTATGCTCAACTCCAGCAGTTGCAGGTAAATATTTTAGGACGAGGAGATTACAACTGGGAAAGCTGAAAAACATAACTTAACAAAGGAGATGTTACGGTACGTGTTATGGTAATGGTGAAACCTGAAGTGAATACCCATGGTGCAATGCTCCAGTGATGTTTTTTAGTCTGCTTCTTTCTAAAACAAACATACAGAAAAGAAAAGAGACAATGAAAACATGTTTGATGTATTTGTTTATTAGTTGGAATTTTGTTTGTAGCACCCATCTTTGTCTACCAGTAGTTGTTCTTTTCTTTTTGTCATTTTTTAATAACAAAACGGGCAGTGTTTTTCTGGTGAGAAGCCAGAGAGGGTTCACATCCGCATCTCTCTTTCTCATCCCTGCCAATAAGAACATGATATTTCTAGGCATGGTTCTTTTAACATACCATACATATGACACTCTACAGTTGAGTCGTTCTTCTTGTGCACTATGTATTCACAAGCCTTCAAGTCTAAAACTGACTCACAGTCGTCAGGAACAGTGGGGGTAGCATACCTGCAAACACACAGTTAAAAGTAGAATATGTGAGTGAAATTGTCAAATAAAAATACTCCCCATTTAACAAATCGAAGTGTATTTATCTGTGTACTTACAAAATATATATACATATATAAATATACGTAACTACAAAAGTCAAATATAAATGCTATCCAATAAAGAATCTGAAATAATTTGGCATGTGTACTTACACAGGGCAACACGAATTGCAAGTACAGTCAATACATTTACTGTTTCTCCATCTAGATCCAACTGGATGCCAGGTCTTATCTGCGTTGTCCTGACAATGTGTGATTCCTATTTGTGGACGGAAGAAGTGGTCAATATTGTATAAAAATATGTGTATTTATTATAAATACTCTGAGTATGTGTGTGTGTTTTTCCTTACTTTCACGTGGTTCCACGTACGGCATCAGACAACTATCTGATAGCGACACCAAAGCACATAGCAGTGAAGCCAGAGCCAGACATTTCTTCACACAGAAAAAAAACAGAGAACATTTGATAAAAACAAACATGTAAACTGCAGTCATTTTGACAACCACGATTTGAGCCAAAAATGATTCATTAATAACTATTCATCACTTCTATTTACTAGTAAACAACCAATTTTTACCAACTACATTCACTTCCATGAAAAAGGCTATATGTTATCTTTTAAGGCACACAAACACCTACCGACAAACAGAATTTTACTCTGAAATCAACTCACCATGGTGGCAGTCAAACTTGTCCCGTTTGAATAGTGTTCAGGAGAGATGTTAAAAACTAAACCTTATTTTGAATGCACGGCTGTGACTATTATAACGTGTGTCTGCAGGGACCTTTGGAATTAAATAAGAGTAGGATGGTCGACTTACTGGAAGAGAATACCTCTGACTGTATTTGTTTTAACCAAGCAAATAAAAAATACTAGAACATACGGAGTGAAGGTATTAAATAACCTAGTTCAGGTTACATTTGCTATTCGTCAAAAAAATCCCATTATTTGTCTACTTATACATGACATTTTAGGACAAACATATCCAAATCTAAATTCACAAGCTGATGATGATGTTGTTTTCATTTCTGATTGGGGTGATGTTGTTTTTCTTTAAAGCTCACCTATTATGCTATATTTGAACAATATATTATAGGGCTCTATGAAACCTGATGTACTTATATGATTCTGTTTTCTTAAAGGTTGTATCTTCCTGGTCGAATGCACTTATTGTAAGTCGCTTTGGATAAAAGCGTCAGCTAAATGCAATGTAATGTAATAATGTAATGGCCATATCTATACAAAACATGTCTCTGAAGTGTTTTGCCCAAAATACAAAACAGATCACCCATTGTAGCATG